TTTAAATACCTTTGGGACTTAAAATCAGCTACAGGGATGCAGCCACATCAGTGTTTATAGCAGCTCAGTTCACAATAGCTAAACTGTGGAACCAACCTAGATGCCCTTCAACATGGATAAAGAAATGTGGCACATATAACAATGGACTATTACTCAGCCTTAAAGAAGAATTAAATTATAGCATTTGCAGATAAATGGATAGAACTAGAGAAAATCATGGAAGGTGAAATAAGCCAACCCGCCCCCCCTGCAAAATAAAAACCCAATGTTTTCTCTGATCATCGGATGCTGTTCCATAGTGGGGCTGGGGGATAGGGAAGAATGAAGGAACTTTGGTTTGTGTAGAGGGAGAGAGGGGAAGGATTAGGCTATGGAATGGGAAGGACGGTAGAAAGAGAGATATTATTACCCTATATACATATATGATTACACTACCGGAGTGACTCTGAACCATGTACAGCCAGAGGATTGAGAAGTTGTGCTCCATTTGCATACAATATGTCAAAATGCATTCTACTGTAAAATTAATAAATAAATTAATTAAAAATAAATAGATACCTTTGGGTCCAACTTTTGGTTCCTTGGAAGTCTAAATCCACATTTCCCCCCACCCCCACCCCCGCTCTCAAAAAAAAAAAAAAAGAACTGAGGATGTAGCTAAGTAGTAGAATGCTTGTTTAGCATGTATGAGGCCCTGGGTTCAATCCCAAGTACTATGGAAAAAACAAACAAACAAACAAACAAAAAAACCAATAACAACAACAACAAAAAATTCCTCCTGAAGATTTCTTCAGGTTTCCAGGACCTTACTTCTGTTAGGTTTACAATTTACATGTCTTTCTAGTGTTTGAGTCTTTTCCATGAAACTCCATGCAGTAATGCCAGTATAATTTACAATTCAAAACACAGAATGATCCTACCTGGGAGGAATTACATCCTGCTAATTTTACAGATAAGCAAGGAAATAATGGTTCAGAGAAGTTAAGAAATTAGGCCAATGCCAGATAGCCAGTAAACCAAGAAGAGAGGATTTGAATTCACTTCTGCCTGGTGCAAGGGAGGTTTGGTACAATGGTAGCTCCCAGTGACCTGCCCCTATTGGTGCTGATGCCCCTGTGTTCCTACCCCTGAATCTAGTCTATCCCTGTGACTTTCAAGAAATGCCCTTGAGTTCCAAGTTTAACTGGGAGTCCAGAGCTGCTTTGCGTGTGGGTTTTGTATTTTTGTGGTGCTGAAGATTGAATTCAGGGCCTTGCACATACGAGGCAAGTGCTCTATCAGTGAGCTACATCCCTATTCCTTCCAGAGCTGCTTTGCAAGAAGGCAGACTATTCCACCAGAAGGACCTCACAGGGAGGGAAAGGAAACCACACAGAGACCTGGCATCTGATTGACAACTTAGGCTGAAGCCCAAGACACATGACCTCAGTGTAATCAGTCTCACTCTTTGCAGTCATTCTAAGGCATCAGATCTGTTGGACATTATACTCCAGCATACATTACTTAGAACGGAGATTGGGGATCTGTACCCTGTTCATATTCCTGCCCATGGAATTGTTGAAAATAATAAATTGATGGTTTTAGTTTTAAACCATCAAGTTTTGATGAAGCAGTAATATATATATATATATATATTAACAACAACAATAACCCACACACTATTGTTCTGTGACTGAGGAAAAAGAATAAATGATGAGTTTATAAAGTCCCTGAACAGGGGAGAAAGAAAGTGGGGGTCAGAGTGGGTTAAAGAGGATTGTTTGGGGTGGACTATAAGGGTAGAGAGAGGAAAAGAAAAAAGGAGTAAGTATACAGACCTCTAAGTAGGGTAGACAGGAAATAACAGAATTTTAAACCTTAGGCAAATACTTGTGCCAGGTAGCATTTCTGGCCCAGAGCAAATCTTTACAATATAATTAATACAAATAAATGGAAAAGAAAAGATAGAAAGTAGTCTGTTTTAAATAATTTGAACAAGAAGGTAAAAGACCAAGATGTTTCCAATGGCAATCTCTAGGTGGTGGGATTACAAAATAATGTTTTATTAGTTTTGTATTCTCTTCCAGTTTTCCTATATAATGAGTTTTTGGTTTTTTTTTTGTACCAGGGATTGAACTCAGGGGCTCCGACCACTGAGAAACATCCCCAGCCCTATTTTGTATTTTATTTAGAGACAGGGTCTCACTGAGTTGCTTAGTGCCTCAATTTTGCTGAGGCTGGCTTTGAACTCATGATCTTCCTGCCTCAGCTTCCTGAGCTACTGGGATTACAAGTGTGCGCTACCACATCCAGCTCTACAATGAACTTTTTAATTTTTCAAGATTTTAATATTGAAATAAAACTGCATAGAATTTTAAAAGTCTTGGGCCGGGATTGTGGCTCAGTGGTAGAGCGCTCACCTAGCATGGGCGGGACCCAGGTTTGATCCTCAGCACCACATAAAAATTAAGGCATTGTGTTGTGTCCATCTACACCTAAAAAATAAATATTAAAAAAAAGAACCTTTAAAAAAAATAAAAGTCTCATGTATACAAATGGCACAAAAAATCTCTAATCCTCTGTCCACCTTTCCTCTCCTCATCTTGTACCCTACAGGTAACCACTTTCAACTATTTCTGGTTTTAGTTCTTTTTTAGTTAAGTACACATCTCTAAAAATGTGCTTATACTTCCATTACTTGTTTTTAAAAAATATCTTGAAGTTTGTCAATGGATATTTTATTTTATTTATTTATATGCAGTGCTGATGATCAAACCCAGGGCCTCACACATGCCAGGCAACACTCTACAACTCCAGCCCTCCATTACTTATTTTATAATCCTGAAGCATCTATTGATTCTCTGCTACAAAATTCTTATTATTTATTCAAAAATGTGTTTAACACCTACAACGTGCAGGCACTATTCAGGTACTAGTGAAAAGGTAGAGAATAATAAGAGTTCCTGCCATTTTAGAGGATATGTTTTAATAAAGGAAGATGACTGGTGGAAAACAAAGAAATAAATAAGCTAATGTCCAATAGTAAAAAGTACTATGAAGAAAATAAAATAGAGTTTAGGACAGAAGGATGGAGTGTATCACCCTAAAATTGGCTGTAACAGCATCTCCCATCTCATATGCTCATCTAGAATATTGCCACTTGTCTATCAAGAGATGGAGCTTAGTGGTAGGGATGTAGCTCTGTTGGTAGAGTGCTTGCCTCACATGTACAAGGCCCTGGGTTCGTTCGATCCCCAGCACAAAAGGGGAAAAGAAAAAAAAAAAAAAGATGTGGAGCTTATTTTCCTTACCCTTGTATTTGGGTGGTTTGATGACTTACTACTGTAACCAGTAGAACATGGCAGAAGCAATACTGTATGAACTCCAAGGCCAGGCCACAAAAGGCAATGGAGCTTTCCTTAGTGTTGAGAGCCACAGCCAAAGGGGCCCCAGCAAACTTCCAGCTGCCAGCAAACTTCAGACTGCCAGCTGATGATTGGCTCACAGCGGCCCCAGCAACATCTAGCTGATTGGCTCCTCTGCGGTGATGTTCATTGGGCTGTTTCCCTGCCCTTTCAGACCACGGAGCTGCTCATTGGGGGACTTCTTTGGCTCTGCCCACGCGACCCAGCCAATCGGCCTCAAGAGCAGGAGGATTGTGGGAGGTGGTGAGGCTTGTGTGGGTGAGAGGCTTGTGGAAGCCGGTGGTGGCAGTTGGGCTCTGAGGGTTTTTTCCTGAGGAGCTGTTTTGTTTGGCGTGTGTAGTTCTAAAAATAAAGTTAGTTTCTTTTGACAAGTGGCTCCTGAATTGTGCCCAGCCAGACTGCGGCACCTTAGTTGCTGGAATATTTGCCTCTTGAAACTTTCAGTGGCCACGTAAATGGTCCAGCTGCCCTGAGGCTGCAATGCTGTGTGGAAACTCAAACTAACACCTAAACAAACCATAGGAGAGGCCCTGAAACTACAAGAAGAGGTTCCCAGCCAGTCCCCAAGGGATCCAGCCCCATGCTGTTCCTCTCAGCCACCATCTGACAACTGAGACTTCAATGGTGAAAAGAGCCTGCCATACAAGGATCTGGAGATAACATGGTCCAAACATAGGAAACTGCAAGTAAAAATGACCTGACTTAGGAATGAACTTTGTGCTGGTCATGGTGGTGCACACTTGTAATCTCGGTGACTTCGGAGGCTAAAGTCAGAGAATTCAAGTTCACTCTAGTCTGAGCAACTTAGTGAGATCCTGTCACAAAATAAAATTAAAAGGGCTGTGGTAGAGGGGATGTAGCTCAGTGGTAGAGTGCTCCTGGGTTCAATCCCCAATACCACCAGAAAAAAAAAAATGAACTTTACACCAATAGACAAGATAGACAAATACAGGAAAACCCAAAGCAGTTTCATTCATAATAGTCCCAAACCAGGAACAACCCAAATGTTCATCAACTGAAAAATGGATAAACTCTGATTTAGTCATACAATGGAAAAATCACATTGTAATAAAAAAATTAACTAACTATAATGCACCAATAAAAATACGGGAAAAAAAGAAATTGGGATATTACATTGATTAAAGAAAAAAAAAGAATGAACTGCTTGACGTAGTGGTGTATACTTGTAATTCCAGCAATTTGAGAGTCTGGGGAAGGAGGATTGCAAGTTCAAGGCCAGCCTGGGTAATTTAGAGAGAATCTGTTAAAAAAAAATGCTGAGGATGTAGCTGGGTGATACAGCAGCCCTGGGTTCAATTCTGTTCAATGAAAATAAACAACAAAATATTAACTACAAAGATGTGCAGCAATGTAAGTGAATTTCATTATGTTTGGTGAAAGGAGACAAACATACTAGTATAAACTTTTTAAAAAATTTGTTCCAATGGAATGCATTTCAACTCATTGTATACAAATGGAGCACAGTTTTTCATTTCTCTGGTTGTACATGAGGCAGAATCACACCATTCATGCAATCATACAGGTACAAAGGGGAATAATGTCCATCTGTAGTACATACTTTTAAATTTCACTTACCTGAAGATCAAGAACAGACAAAACAGATGGATGATGCAGAAGTCAGAACAGAAGCTACTTCTAAGAGGAAGTGGATTGATGAGAAAGAAGCACGAGGGAATTTTTTGGAGTGCTGGCAATGTTCTGCATCTCAGTCTGGGTGATGGTTGCCCTGATATACACACGTGTAAAAATTCATCAAGCTGTTTACTTAAGATTATGCAATGCATGCATATTATTGCATATATCCCATATCTCAATTAAAAAAAAACACAGAGAGTGTTCATTTGGTTTGGCTTTTCTATCTCCTCCCTGCACTGGTTGGTTATCTTTCAGCCTTCAATCATTTACTTACCTCTGTGCTTGTTCCCTCAACTTCTGACAGTACTCCTGATCCTACCAAAGACGAACACACAGTGCTGCTGAGCCTTCTTCCCCCTTTTCTCAAGCCCCCCTGCCCTCCTTTCAAGTTTTATCAGCTGTCCTTTGACTTTTCCATTTCTTAGGCTGATAATACATTTTATAGGTTGAAAAAATACATTTCTTAAGTTGATAAAAATAAATAAATACCCAGAAGGCTTCATTATGGTTACAAAACATTCATTCTGTTTTATAACCATAATGAAGCCTTCTGGGTATTTATTTATTTATTTTTTTCTGTATTAGTGATTGAAGTCAGGAGCTTTCTACCCCTGAACTACATCCCTAGCAGGGTCTTGCTAAGTTTCGAGGCTGCTCTTGAACTTGCGATCCTCCTGCCTCAGCCTCCTGAGTAGCTGGGGTTATAGGTGTGCACCATCATACTTGGCCTGGGTTTTGTTTTTAATTTATTCCTCAATATTAAAATTCAAAAAAATAGAGTCCACCTTATGACGATGATATAAATATTGCCCCTGACTAGACTCAAATGAAATGCCAAAACTATATTTCCTTGACAACAGGTCAAATGTCTCTTTATCACTTAAGCATATTTTTAGTATTCAAATAAAATTTTCCCTTTGTTTCTGCATCAGTCAGCTATTGAAGTGTAACAAATCACCCCCAATTTGGTGGTTTAAAACAAAAACAATCTGTTATCTCTCACCAGTCTAGGGTCAGCAGAGTAGTTCTGTGGCTCTAGGTCCGCTCCCATGTCTGCTGGACTGTGCTGAACACTGGCCAATCTCAGATTATCTTGTGGTAACTGGCTTAGTCTTCCTCTGCTGTTTTTCATATCATTCTAGCTTTTTTTTGCAGTACCAGGGATTGAACTCAGGGGTACTCAAACACTGAGTCACATCCCCAGCCCTATTTTGTATTTTATTTAGAGACAGTTCTCACTGAGTTGATTAGTGCCTCGCCATTGCTGAGGCTGGCTTTGAACTTGTGATCCTCCTGCCTCAGCCTCCTGAGCCACTGGGATTACAGGCATATGCCAGCCCATTTAACTCCTTCTAGCATGTTAACCAACATTTGTTCTCATGGGGGCAGCAAAGCTTTGAGAGAAAGTAGAAATTTTGCAAGCCTCTTTTTATGTTTTCCTAGTGCATAATTTGCCACTGCACTATTGGCTGAATGGAGTCTCTCGGCCAAATACAATTGAGGTGTTGGTGGGGAGTCTACCAAAGGGTGTGGAGACAGGGCTACCATTAATGCTATCAGTGTACTATACTTAAACTATCAAATTTTCAAAATTATACATTTTCTTTGTTTGATAGTTCTTGTACATTTATTATTTATTTCCTGGTGTTTCTAAGTGGCTTTTTTTTTTTTTTTTTTTTGGCTGTTGAGAGAAGGAACACATACTTTCTTCACTACATGACTATTTATCCCTTTTTTTGCCCTGTTGTTTGGAATTTACTCCATGCTTCTTGAAAGCATTCTTTATTTAAAATATGTTTCTTCAGTTGTTGATAGACCTTTATTATATTTAATTATATGTTTTGCTGAGACTCAAACCCAGTGCCTCACACGTGCCAGGCAAGTATGCTATCGCTGAGCCCCAGCCCCAGCCCTTGAAAGCATTCTGTGAGAGCTCTCTTGGGGTCTTGAACTAGTGTGTCTGGGTTGCTTGAAGAGCTGACACCCTGTTGGGCGCGGTGGCACATGCGTATAATCCAGTGGCTCCAGAGCCTGAGGCAGGAGGATCGTGAGTTCAAAGCCAGCCTCAGTGAAACAAGGCGCTAAGCAACTCAGTGAGTGAGATCCTGTCTCTAAATAAAATACAAAATAGGCTGGGGATGTGGCTCAGTGGCTGAGTGCCCCTGGGTTCAATCTCCAGTGCCCCCACCCCCCTAAAAAAGAGCTGGTGCCCTAGAGTCCCATAGCACTCCCTGGGGAGAGCCACTGATTCCTTTGTGCCATATCTTCCTTCTATAGAAACTATAGGAGGCTAAACTTCCAGGACGTTTCAAGTCTCATGATAAGTTTGATCCCAGTACAGTTCTTGCTCCTTATTGGTGACCTGTTGTTTCTGACCTTTCTAGGAAGCTTTTAGAGCCAAGCCCCCTTAATCCATAATGTTCTGAAGTTTCATTTTGGCACCTTTAGATTTGGTTCTCCTTTTAGGAAAAAAAAAAATATTACACCAGGCACTCAGAAGATTCAAACTAAGGACTTTGGTCTTTGTAGGAAATGTTGTGTTCTGCATTTAATCATTTCCTTTCTTTGGTTTCCACATCATCTCTTCACTCTCCTATTATTTGGATGTCACCCCTCCTTGGGTGGATTTCAATGTTCATTCTCTTTTCTATTTCTTTGGTTTTGTTCCATTTTTTTTTGGAAGATTTCTTTCATTCTTTCCCCCATCTCTACTGAATTATTTATATCTGCCAGTATACTTTCAAAGATTTTTCTCGTGCTTTTATCTCATAAATGTAGCTGGGTGCTGCTAGGGAGGCTGAAGCAGGAGGATCCTGAATTTAAAGCCAACCTCAGCAACTTAGGAGGCCTTAGGTAATTAGTGAGACCCTGTCTCTAAATAAAAAGGGTTGGGGATATAGCTTGGTGCTTAAGTGCCTCTGTATTCAATTCCCAGTTTAAAAAAAAAAAAAAAAAAAGAGCCTGGGTAGATTTTTCAAAGTCATTGATGTTGATTTCCTCTCTCTGGTCTTTCTACTTGGCCTCTCTTTTAACTGGGAGTACTATTTATGTGGGCAGTGCTTAGTTATTATAGGACTGATTTAGAATAAACAAAAAGAGAATAGGCCTCGAAGTTTTCAAATCCTAACATTCCAGAATGGGGTAGGCTTCACCCCAGGACCTCTAGGCAGTTTAACTGGAAAAGGTCTATGGCAGATTGTCAAGGATATGATTTCCAATGAATCCCTCCTCCCTGTGTCCATGCTCCTTCTATAGCATGGCTTCGGAGCTCCTCCATCCAAAGATGAGGTCTAGTTTCTATAGCTCGTTGCTCTTAAGTTTGGTCTAGCTGTGTGACTTGCTTTGGCTAACTGAAGGCAGCAGAAGTGACATTCTGCAAATTCCAGGTCCCCAGAGACCTTGTAGCTTCCACCTTCCCCCTCTTGGAATGTTCTCACCTCAAGGCACAGATCCTGTGTGAGACCACTGATTGATGATAGACTTTGTGGAGAGGGGCAAGCTTCACAGCCAGCAGTAAAACCATCTTAGACCCTCACCAGAGGGAGCTTCCAGTGATTGCATAACAAACTCCAAGTAAGACCAGTAGGGCCACACAGCTGAGCCCAGCCAACCCAGAAAATGACAAGAAATAATAAATCCTTGTAATTTGACACTGTAAAAGTCTGCCATCACTTGTTTTGCAGTCATAGGCAATGGATACTAAGCGTTTTGAATTTTGTTTTTATTCTGATTGTCTATGTTCTGCATGGGTAAAGCAGGTGTGAAGGAGAGAACTGATGCAGCAGTTTTGAAAGCAGAGATTCAACTCACCCCTGTTTCTTGTCCTCGCTCCAGGCTTCTGCACCAGACATTTGTTAGCCTTGAATCTTTCTTGGTAAGGCAGACTGCTGGTGACCTAACCCAACAGCCATTCTGTCTCTTCCCCACTTAGTAAAACAACTCTGATTTTAGCAATGTATCCAACAAAAATAGTCTATTTCTAAGCTTCTTTTGTAGCTAGGGGATAGCACATGAAAAACTTTGAGAGAATGAGAACTAAATGGAAGGGTTCTGTGAGATTTCCACAGAGACTACTTAAATAGAATTGACTCACAAGCTGAGGGGTCTCAGCAGAACCCTGACACTGTCTGCAAAATCCACCCTATACCTGGGAGTTCAAGTCTTTGTTCAACAAATAAAAAAGGAAATGAGGCAAACTTGTGCTCAATTAGGCAAGTGCTTTCTTGGGCCAGGTACAGTGGTGCATACCTGTAATCCCAGTGACTCAGAGGTGTAGGCAGGAGGATCACAAGTTCAAGGCTGACCTTGGCAACTTAGTGAAACCCTGTCTCAAAATAAAAAATAAGGGGTTAGGGTCATAGCTTAGTGGTAGAGTGCTTGCCTAGCATGTGTGAGGCACTGGGTTTGATCCTCAGTACCTCATGTAAATAAAATAAAGGTCCACTGACAACTAAAAAATATATTAAATATAAAAATAAAAAGGGCTAGATGTGTAGCTCAGTGGTAGAGTACCTCTGGGGTCAGTCCCAGCATTGCAAACACACAAGCGTGCATACATGCCAAAAAAAAAAAAAAGTGCTTTTGTTACCTTTTGCCCTGTGGGTTTTATTGAAGCACGTGGTTCCTCCCAATGTGGGAAGAGATAGTCTGTCTTATGTGTTGTCAGCTGATAAGGAAGGAGGTACATTTTCAGGCTCCCTTCTGGCTGGGTAGCTGGCTGTCTGGCCAGTCTATCTTCTGTGTCATGATGTAATTTAATTTCTAAAAACAACCCAAGCCTGGAGTCCAATGGCCTGGCCAAGTCTAGTTCATTGGTTCTGCTCTCAGAGAGCCCTGTCCAGGGCTTTCACGTGTGCCCAGGAGAAGTGGTAGATAGTTGCCAAAACAGGCAAGTGACATAACCACTTTGAGATTCAGTTTTCTTATCTGAAAAACAAAGAGAATGTGGGAAGAGATCATCTCTGGGGCTTCTGCATGCTGGAGGATTCTAATCCTGTATGTTGACAGGCCTGGCCTACAACTCCAGTCAAGGAAAGCCATGTGTGTATGTCACAGACTTCCACTGAAGACCACTGGTAGAAGGAAGGTGTTATAACTAAGTCCCCAGACTTCAGGACTCATTGTCTTTTGACTCTTTTGACTCTCTTATCCCACATGTGAAAGTACCCCAACAAAATACCCAGATGTCAAATGCCCAGCACAGAGATATTCACCACAGTTAGTATAAATGAAAATTCATAGAAGAATTGCCAAATGGTTTGTGGCACATTCAGATAATGGAATAAGATTGAGGTGACAGGAATTTTTGAAAGAATTTCCAGTGACATACAGAATCATATAACCTACATATGCTACATGGAAAATAGGATATAAAACCATATATGTAGAAGGATCCCAACTGGCTCCAAAATATATGACTATATTATAAAAGACTTGAAATTTACATATTTAAAAATTTACCAATTTTGTTTACATATTTATAGAAGATCATAAAATGAAGTTCTAGCTTTTTTCCTTCTTTATCTTTTTCTGTACATGATAAGTTTTTCTATAATTACCAGAAATATATATTATTTTAATAAACAGAAATTTTTTTTTAAAAAAGGCTTTTTGTTTTGTTTTGTTTTCCCAGAAGAAGAATTACAACAGTATTTGGGCCTTCTTATTTATCGGCAAATCTTTTGTGGGTGCCAGGTACTATGATGGATTTCCTCTATTCACTTGACTTGATTGCCAGGGCTACCATGTGTAATTATGATTGCTACCTGCATAGATAGTATATGATGGAGCCTGAGCCTTTGTTCTTTCCTGTGACTTTAAATGCTGCTGTCTCAGTTTTCAACTGAGTGTCAATGGTGTCATCTTCTGCCCAGACTTGTGCTGACTCTACAGAAAGGGATGACCTCATTTACTCTGAGTAGAGTTGGAGTTGGGGGATGGGAATTGCTAATGGTAAAGGTTTCAGTTCCAAATGGCTTTTGCTCCACAGTCAATAGCAAATAGCTATTTCTGTTGCTTTACTTACAGTCAAATACTACCTGCAAGGCAGAAATGGTCTTTCAAAAGACCCTACCAGTTGGTGCAATGGTGTACGCCTGTAATCCCAGACTGAGGCTGAAGCAGTTTGTTTATGAACCTGAGTGTGACCCTTGTGGTGCATGCTGTCACTGCCTCACTGAGGACCTCCTAAGTCTTTTTTATCTTTCTCTGACCTTGGTGTGGTGGTGGTTTAATTCACTCCAGAGTAGGCCAGAAGTGTAGATAGTTAATGGCCCAAGAGCAACCCTCAATCACTGAGATGTGAGTTGGTGTGTTAATACCCCAACTCTCTTGCCCTCTGTTGAACAATTTTCTTTTAATATGGGGTTTTTATTTTAGTTATTCATGACAGTAGAATCCTTTTTGACGTAATTATAAAAGCATGGAATATATCTTGTTTTAATTCAGTCCCAAGTACCTCTCCTTCTCCTTCCCTTCCTGTACCTCCTGCTCCCTTCCCTCTATTGATCTTTCTGCCACTTACCCATAGTCATTTTTAAAAAATTAATTTCTTTCGGATGTACACTATGATGAGATTCACTGTGGTATATTTGTGTGTGTGTGTGTGTGTGTGTGTGTGTGTGTGTATATATATATATATATATATGAAAGTTATGTCAAAGTCATTCCACTATCTTTCCTTTTCTTATCCTTTCTCCCTTCCCTTCATTCCCCTTTGTCTACTCCACTGAACTTCTATTTTCTATTCTTCATGCACCCCTCTTTTTGTGTGTTAGCTTCCACATATCAGAGAAATCATTCGACCTTTGATTTTTTGAAATTGGCTTATTTCACTTTGCATGATAGTCTCCAGATCCATCCATTTACCAGGAAAAGTCATTCTTTCTTATGGCTGAGTACTATTCCATTGTGTATATATACCACATTTTCTTTATCCACTCATTTCTTGAAGGGCATCTAGGTTGGTTTCATAGCTTAGCTATTGTGAATTGAGCTGCTATAATCACTGATGTGGCTGCGTCACTGTAGTATGCTGATTTTAAATCCTTTGGGTATATACCAAGGAGTGGGATAACTGGCTCCAATGGTGTTTCCATTCCATTTTTTTTTTCTTGAGGAATCTCCATACTGCTTTCCATAGTGGTTGCACCAATTTTCAGTCCCACCAACAATGTATGAGTGTACCCTTTTCCTCTCTGTGGGTCAATAATAAGTGTATCTTATTCACTCTCTTGCTGTGGTGCTGAATAAACCACTTACACCAAAATCCTTGCCTCAGAATATTTTTTGGGTGGTAATACAAACTAAGAAGATCCCATTTGCTTGTATTTGGTGATGCTCTGGGGCCTTTGGAATGAAGGACGTTACCTTTATCTCCAAAACCAAGGTAGAATTAGGGATATTAATTTTATCTTAACACAAAAGTGATGAAGTAGGACAATGCCCTATAATATTCTAATGGTTTAAAACTCTCTGAGTTGAGTGTGTTTAGCTCCAGTTAAAACCCTTGGTAGAAATAAGCAATGAATCATTTCCTATTACTACAAAGAAAGGACTCATTCTGGACACTGGCTGGAAAAGAAAAGATAACCCACTTCATTTCCCAAAAGGGTTGAAGACATTTCTCTCCTAGGCAGGCAAGAGCTTTTACATTATTGTGCCCTAAAAATAACAGTCTCCCTTTTATGGGTTATAAAAGCTGAAATGGTGTGTTATTTTCATCCTCCTCCAGAGAAGCTTCTCAGGAACTGTGAATGTGAGCAGAGATTATGCAACTACTTGGTGCCATCTTCGCCTTGGCAACACAAACCATTGTTCTCCTGCAATGGGCGTTCAAGGTAATGCAAGGGGACATTTGAGGACATAATCAAGGAGGACAGGAAGCAGGTGAAGAGTGGGGAAAATAAGGAGGACTTGAAGTCTTGAAGGATGTTGGATGAACAAGTCTTGAGATCTAATTACAACAATAGTTAATAAAATTGTGTTATAGTAAAGGTCTTTGTTAAATAAGACAGTTTTTTTTTCCACAAAAAGGTAACTAAATGAGCTCTATTAATTGGCTTCACGATAGTTACCATTTTGCTATTTGTATCTGTCCTATAACATCAATTTGCTGGGTATGATGGTGCATGCCTATAATCCCAGCAACTTGGGAGGCTGAGGCAGGAGGATTGCAAGTTGGAGATCAGCCTCAGCAATTTAGTGAGGCCCTAAACAACTTAGTGAGACCTTGTCTCAAAATGAAAAAAATAAAAAAAGGGCTGGGATGTGACTCAGTGGTTAAGCACCCCTGAGTTCGATCCTTATACCAAAAAGAAAAAAATCAATAAAGTTGTGAGAAATTCAAATTAAAACAAAAGTCTAGAAAGAACTGGGGCTTTGTGAGGCCCTAAGAAAAGGATCATCCTGGTCATTCCAGTATTAATAGCACCCCCCTTCACTTTCATAAGGCCTGGGTTTGGTTATTTGGTCATTGAACCTAAGAACTCAAGGAAGCAGCTGACTTACCCAGCACCATCGGAACTTGTACCTCTGGCACAGCTTCTACTGGTCTTAATTTGCCCAACTCTGAGCACAAAAATAGGCACTCAACTTTCTATCTTGGGTCCCTTGCATGTAATAGATACATAAAAACGTTGGCTGGGGAAAGAAAGAATGCGAGAAGACATTACCTGCATATGGTAATGAGGTACTGGAATCACAGAGTTAAAGTAGGAAGCGACCTTCAAACTCATCTTATTTTGTATGTGAGGAAACTCCATCTCAAAACTGTGGAGCAGCTTGCTCAAGACCATAGCATTAGGGACAAATTCCAGGACTCAACTTGATATCTCGGCTCTATGGGTACTTAAAATGTTGAGTCCATGGACAGGAAGTAATAGAAGTACTCCGTAGCTTGTTAGACAGAATCTGAGGTCCCATCCAAGATCTATCTGAGGGTCTCTGAGGGATCTGGACACTGTCAAATGGACGGTGAGTTGGAATTATCATTTCCTGGCCAAGGCGCTTAATGCCTGGTGTACGTCTTCTAACTCTTTCTTCCCCTTCCCCTTCATTGGTGATTTGGAAACCACATGTTGAGGTGGCAGTATCACAGGATAAAGGGATCTTGGTTCCTTGAATTGCCAGTTGGAAGAGATCCCTGCTGACTGGCACCAGTATGATGCACTTTGTATGGCGTGCTAAACCAGTGATATTTTGTGGTCTATTTGTTACTACAGCATAGCCTGGCTAGTCTGTCCTGATTAACACAGTTGGAAAAAATCTGAACTCCTGATGTCTTCAGAAGGAGAAGATCTAGCAACGCTGGGCTTGGATTCCTCACTAGCAATAATCTTCTGGAGATGAGTGATGCCCTTTAGGGTGGGCATACATTCTGGATTTCACCTCAGTCCCCAACACTCCCAGTATAGATCCTGACAGCTGAGAGGCAGATGCTTTTTTTTAAATTTTTTTGTTTTAATTGTAGATGGACATGATACCTTTATTTATTTATTTTTATGTGGTGCTGAGGATCGAACCCAGTGCTTCACTTGTGTTAGGCAAGCGCTTTACCACCGAGCCACAACCCCAGCCCTGAGGCAGATGTTTTTTTTGTCATCACTGTTGGGTAGTCTTTTTATTCTCTCTCTCTCTCTTTAATATTTTTGCAGTGCTGGGGATTGAACCCAGGACCTTGCACATGCTAGGCAAGTGCCCTACCAATGAGCTACATCCCCAGCAGTTGTTTTCTTATAATCAAGAGGAAAGTAAAGTATCTCTGTATGAATATCTTTAACAAAAGTGGGAAAATTAAATATAGATCTTGAAAGCTATGATTTTAAAGAAAATTAAAAGAGAACAGTGTTCTTCCTGGAAAAATAGAGTCCTAAATGTTTAATGTGCAAAGCGGGTCTGTATCAGAAGCAGATAATATAACGTGCTGT